AAATAGGCAAATGCCCCAGAGGGGCATCGAACAATTGTAAATGTGCTTAAGCTAGCTGTAAGAGCAGATAGCAACGATTGCACGCCTACCTGAAGAAACTAAAACAAAATCGACGCGCTACACCTCGAACCACATAAAAGTGTAATTAAGATTATTCACCGACTATCAATGTGCCCAATGCTTATTACCCAGGGCGATCCTGTTATTTAGGACTTAAAAATTAGATGGCTAACGTAAAATCAATAAAGCTTTCGCATAAACACAAAAACAATGATTTTTCGTAAGATAAATTCCCATTTTCTAGTTTTGTATCTATTGAAATTCAATCAGAGTTATATCCACAATACCTACATATAGCCTGTGATAATGAATATAAGGCTTCGAATGGAAGATAACAAGTTTTGAATGTCAATGCTGAATAGTTGATCACAAAAGCCCGATAATTGTAGCTGAGTGAAGATATAGTTGGTGTAGGCAGGATAAATAGGTCCTGTAGATTCAATGATGCAAATACCAAGTTATGAGCGTTTTTAGTAACAAAACGAATTAATGCTATTGCAGAAGACGCAAGATAAATTAAAATGCAACATGTGAAAAGTCAGTTTCAGAGCAAATTTAAGTATAAATATAATTTATTAAATTTTGGGCGCGCCTAGAGCCATTGGAAGTTTTTCTATGGTTACTCTGTGACCCAAAAGATACATGATTGGTACACCTGTAAGTTTACGAAGTCTTCTGCGTAGGTCCTTATCACAAGTAGCAACAATGTAACATCGCGAAGAAGCACGTTCAACAAGACAATCGTCGGCATAAATGCCCTTATGTTGGCAAGTCAAACGTTCTATTCGAGGGTCCCGAAGTATACTTGATGTAAAAAGTGGAAAGAAAAAAAATAAGAAAAGGCAAATAAAAACGTGAATTAACACTAAAAGTAAGAGGTAGTGACCTACCGTAAGGCAACTCTGTGGCGCTCAGACATCTTTTCTATTTCACCCATAACGCAATCAGTTACGTATAGAAAGCCTGAGCATATAAAAAAGCAATATTACATTTTGCAAGAAGGCAGTCCATCATAGATTGAAAAAGATCTAGCCTAGCTTTAATTGAAAAATTAACATAATTAGTGTCAAGAAGGATATGATAAGGTGGACCCAGAGATGTATTGTATGAATCTTTAAGGCAAGGAATAAGCGTTCTTTTATTCCTAAACTTTACATGAGGATTTTTGGCAATTTTTTTGTTTTGGATTTTAAGTCTTGTTTCTTTCGCTCTAAGAATTAAAAATAGGATAAATTACATTCGGGAATCATTTAATGAGAGTATCCGCTTTTGGTCAGCGAACTTCCTAGTTTTCCTTGCCTTGCCCATTACAGAAGATTGTACAAGTGCAAATAAAGCGGTGAAATATAAGCAGTTAAAACTATAAAATAAAATAATTATTATTGCACTAAATTATTAAAACCATAATTAATTTTTTTTAAACTAAATAATATTTACAAATAATTAAAATTAA